CTCTGCATGGTACTTGGCATCAAATCCTAAATTGTGCATTCAAGACTATGACCTGCCTAGTGCCTTTCGTCTCACTGTTTGACTAGTTGTTTTTCTCCTCTACTTCAATATGTTATGTCAATTTTTCCCAAAGATGAAGGTAGTGTCACCAGTCAATCGAGTCTTACCATTAGTCCTTGAATAACAAGCTGGTGCACCATCCGGTGGTTTGGCCAAATAGTCTCTAGTCTCTCCCCAAATTCCTCGCTCGTGCTCTGGTTTTGTAATGGGAAGGTGTTTGCTTATTAACGTTCTGTTCGAAATACGCTGCCGACAGTTGGGCCATCCCACACCACCGTGGTCGAGATTCGTGCTTGTTGACGTCGGCGTCTAATCAGTGTAACGTGTACGGAATCGCTTCATGCAGTCCCCGTTCTCTAAATGTTTTAGCACGTGTACAAAGTTCTCGAAAATGAGCTCTCCGATTGCGAATCGATTGACATGGGTGGTCATAGCTTGGTGAGTTTGGTTGCTCGTGCATGCTTATATCTTCACTTTTTTGTTCTCTTTTTTCTCACCCACTTGTCGACCCTTTCACCCCTACCTGTAGTGGAGAGTGCTTTTATTGCGTGACTACCGAAAATAGATATCATTTTGATGGGGTGCTGTCGTCTTCCAAAGAATGGGATTCTGGCGGCGCGTTAAAAGGCAGAATGCTTGAAGGTGATATCGTGATGTTTAGTTTAAGTCTGTTTGTGATGTTTAAAACCTTGTCAGTGCTTTCTTGAACCTTTTTTGATAGTTGAAAGAGCGGTGAGTGGAAGCATTTAAGCTGTTTTGTAAAACAGACATTTTTTGGGCAGTGATTATTTCCAAGTCATGTGCTTCTGTTTTACAAGTTCACCTTCATTGGTCATAGAAGGTGATGCACATCTGCCATGAATTTGTTTGCGTGCAAAGCTGCAAACGGGATGCATGCTCTAAAACTAGTTAGTTTGCACTTTACAGTGAGCTATAGGTTATTGGCAAAGATTGGGCCCAACCGTTCTTATAAAGTATGTACGGTTCGTTTTCCACTCAGTTTACGTTCTATATCTCTTTTCTATTTTGCACAGTTTAGACAATGGAAGGTTTCGAAACGATGACATCCGATTCAGAAGTTGACACAGACCGAACAGACGGTGTCTCTCGGAGCGTCCGTTTTGCAGAACATCGAGAGGTTCGTGATACCCAATAATTTTTTTATTCTGGCTCTTTATAATTTTTAAAGTGCTCCCTGAACAGAGACAACTATAGGTACGGCGAATGCCATCGGTTGAAGCTCATGAGGCTCGTCTGGCACGGCAACCGTATTCCCCTCCGATTTTCGACTGTAATTTTTCCATAAATCTTCCGCGAAACGTGAAATATACAGTATTTTTCTTTGCTCCCATGGTGAGTCCTCTACCGAGTTGTGTTTAGTGGCTGATTGTTCTTTTTTTTCCATTTTTTTTAGAGTTTAGTTTCAAAGTTTTTTCAAAGTTTTCGCAATTATATCTGACCAATTTTGTACTATTTCTTGTTCTTTGAAACCTGTGAGAGACGTTTTTTTTTCAAAGCCCTGCGCGATGCTAAGATTATATGGCATTCCCTTCAAATCATATCAGTGCCATGGTTTATTCAGAAGATACTCGAGAACAGGATCAACGTCGCGTCCGCTTTTTCGAG